GAGTTTCTCTGTCAGTTCAGAGTCAGGAAAAAATGAATAAAAGTACCAGCTCTTCTTTAAAAAGGCAAAACGCGTTTCACTTGTGTCCATGTGGATCGTATTATCAGGTATTACAAAGATTTTGTTGCACAGGTAGAAACAGTGACACTTTTTGGCTGCACCTAAATTAGTGTTTTTATTAATAAGCTGAAAGCTGCATGTTGCTGCATTGTTTGTGATGAGAGATCAGAAAGAGTACAGCTTACCTACAAAAACGACATTCAGCTTCCCTGCATCTTACTTAGTCGGTGTCAGCTTTAAGTAAAAGCTCCCTCTGCTTTCTTTTGTTTCACAGATAATATTGCTGCAGTTCCCACATTCACCTGAATTGTCATATGAATTCTGTGATGTGGATGTGCATGTAATAGAAATAATGGTAAGTATAACAATGTTAGACATACAGTGGCTAACAATCATACACAAAAATGTAAACAGTGCCTGATGTAAAAATCTCATACTGTGTATTCCAACCACTGTCAAAGGACCAGGACAGCAAGAGTGCTTCTCTTCAGCAAGAGGACAGCTTCTCAGTGCTGGATCACGCTGAGGAAGGAGTTGTTGTTGCAGGAATCAAAGACAACACAATCTCTCCAAAAAGTGGTAAGATAAACATTTCAGATTCATTTTTGAAAATTCAATAAGCACTAATAGAAAAAAAGGTTGTGACATTATTTCTACTTGTTTCAGGAGAAAAGTTTGTTGCAGCAACAATACAACTTGATAAACTTGAGAAAAACGATGTGATGAAAATCTTGAAGGTGCTGGAGCCATACGAAAGCAACATCAATCTTCTGACAAAGAAGGACTTGAGCCCCGGTGTTGACCTTGGCTCTTTGGGAGTAGGGCTCAAAGATTCGGCAGAGGTAAGCATCAAGCTGTGGGGAACATTTGGTTTATGTTATTATAGGAAAGACCATAAAATATGTTTTTATTTATACATTTTTAAACCTTTTTGTGTATGAGAACTGTTGAAATATTGACTTTCAGTATTTCAATAACCTGTCAAATCACAATATATCTGAAAAGATATCCAGTTAGACATTAAATCCTTTTTCTAAAAACTGCATATGTGAAGCCTAAAATCCCGTAAAAGTCTTTTTCTCGAATCTGTTACCAAAATTAAGCAATCGTAAGCATATCAGTGCTTTCTAAGAAGACAGGTCAGTTTGCTTATTTCAACATACAATATATGCAAACTTGTAGCTCAGAGAATAATTTTACTGATGCCAGTGACCTAATGTATGGGGACGTTTTGTGAGGTGGTGGTGATTTACTTAAAATCTAGTCCATCCTATTCGTCCATGACATCTTCTATTTCCCACTTCTACCCCCACCTTGCTGCAGTGCAGATGAACTGGACATGATTTGTGCTGCTCAGAATACAATTTTGGTTAATAGTAGTGTCATAAAGTTAGTGGTTTAATTTGTTTTTTTAATTACCAACAGATATTACAGAAGGATCTGTCGCTGGATGCATCAGCTCAGGGACCAACCGTTTCCCTTGATGGCCTGAATGGAAAGCTTAATGGTGCACAAGGGTTGGGGGTAAAAATAAGTGAACCGACTCTTAATGGAGACCTTCCCAGTCTTAGCCTAAATAAGCCATCAACTGATGCTGGTGCCACATTTAAAATGCCCTCAGCAGGGCTTACGATGCCAGACATAAAATCAGATTCAAGTGGAACCCTAAAAGTACCTGATATCAATGTCTCCGCTCCCAATCTTAACGCTCCCATTGCAACACTAGACATCAACAAACCAGAAGTCGAAGGCAAAATGAAACGCGAGGCCCCGAAATTCACAATGCCACGCTTCAGTCTACCTCATCTTGATGCACCAAAAGCAGACATTGATGTCTCTGGTGATCCAGGTCTTCCTTCAGTCAGTGGAAGTATGGAGAGACCAGACCTCAACCTGTCAGCTCCAAAGTTAGATTTGAATAGTCCTGATGTAAATGTAAAGGCCCCAGATGCTAATATTGAAGCACCCTCAGGGAAAATCAAGTGGCCCCATCTAAAATGGAAAGGTCAAAAACTCAAAGGACCAGATGCCAACTTAAATGCTGACCTGTCCACACCTAATGCCAGCATTTCCACACCAAAGATTGATGGTGATCTAAGTACCCCAGATGTGAATGTTGGCTCAGCTCAAGCTGATATTAAAGGCCCTGATCTAGATGTTCAAACCCCAGATCTTAACGTTGATGCCCCTTCTGGTAAGATCAACTGGCCTCACCTGAAATGGAAGAAGCCCAAACTTGAAGGATCAAAAGCAGACTTGGACGTGGATGCAGACCTAAAGAAACCTGATTTAAGTCTTTCAGCTCCAAAGATTGAGGGTGACATTAATGTACCAAATGCTGAGCTGAGTCTTCCGGAAACAGAGCTAAAGGCCCCGGGTGTAGATGTTCATGGCCCAGACGCTGACATTGATGCTCCTTCAGGAAAAATTAACTGGCCTCATCTAAAGTGGAAAAAATCCAAACTTAATGGGCCAAAAGCTGATATGGACCTCAATGCAGATTTAAGCCCACCAGATGCTTCAGTTCCAGAAATTGATGGGGAGATTAGTACACCTGACGTGAGCCTCAATTTACCCAAAGCTGACGTTGATATCAAAGCACCAGATGCTGATATAAACCCACCTTCTGGCAAAATCAAGTTCCCAACACTGAAAAAACCTAAATTCTTGGTTTC